TATTATCATAAGCTAAATATTGTTCGTTTAAGAATTTAATAAGACTTTTATAGCTAGGAACCTGACAAGAACGATGTTCAAGTTCGAAACGTAGTTTAGTTTCATTATCAAGTCGTTTAAGTAACATCATGGCTAGAATGAAATCCCAATGTTCAACCGGAAAACCTAAGATTTCTAGAGCGGCAATATTTTCTTTAAAAATATCAAGTAATTTTTCTAAAGCGTGCGGATTATTCGATTCAATTTTAGACGTGCTGTCAATCTCATTCCAATGAGCTTGTGCACATTTTCGTGGATTTGCATACCTCTCTTGTAAAGTATCATAAGCTAATTGATAATTATTAGAAGTTAAAGGCAAATGCCGAACTAAAGAATATGGTTTTCCATCCAAGCAAGAGAGTAAATAATCGAATTTTTCAATATTAGATAAATGAGGTTTTTCATGAACTAAATTATTAAAATGGTCTATAAATGAGCGAAAATTTCTATAATCGCCACTAAATTTCTTTAATTCAATCACCGGCAAACGAATATGAGATGAATTTGGATCTATATGAAAAAGTGTAGAATTATGCAAAGCAGTATTTTGATTAGCGTTTACTGGTTGAGTATCAGATTCAAATAATTCCGAAAATAATGCTTTAATCTTATAAAATTCTTCTAAAAACATTTCTTTGGTAGCATCTTCGCCCCCAGCATCTTCAGGGATAGCAAACAATGTGGCAAGAACATTATTATGATGTTTAAAAAAATCCTCTTTAAGACTATCAATATCTGCGCACCTTACTTTAAAGACATTTTTGAATGATTTATTACTATTCGCTTTATCAGCGAGCATACTAATTACGTTTATTTCATTTAAGCAAGAAGTTCTTAAAGTTTTATATTTAACAAGTTTTTCAACCATTGTAATAAATTAAATAAATCGAATCGCAAGCAAAACAAAATTAAAACCAAATTTATTTGTATCAGCTGATCAAAAGGCAATCTTAATGTAGCGGCAGCGGTATCAAGCTCACCTCGATACGAAACACGGCGAAAAGGCGGGCGATTTTTCACAAATTTCAAAAATAACGAAATATACGGTAGCGGAGTAAACGACAAAGCGGTGATTGATAAACAGAGCGACAATTAGCGAAAAGGCGATAATAATAATAAATGAAGGCCACTTGAAGGCCGATTGATTGGAACCTGTGTACACTACCGATGTCGAACAACTTGAGCACGACTCGACTAAAAAAATGACCAATATGTCTACCTGATAAATTTTACAATTAACTCAATAAATTTAATACTTATTGAAATAATATTGTATGCAAACTAAATGATTTTTTTTTAGTAAGAACTGATTAATTTTAGCAGATATGCTATAATTTTGAATAGCGCTTTTGATAATTTAAAAAATAAAGAAAATTTTAAATCGAATTTTTCGCAAAAAAAAATCCCACAGTTATAATAATGCAACAATTTAATTCTAACTGTTATTAAAGTACTCGAAGGACCAAAAAAATGTAATAGAATGATTGGAATATTACGTAAAAAAGGGCTGATTGTAACAGTCGAAAAAAATAAGATAAACGTGTCTCAAACGCGCTTACCTTCTGTGCTGCATCATATGGTTCGTCGGATGAAGTAGGTGGTAGTATTAGTCCAGTAGCCAAGACCGGGCCCGGTTACACAATTTATATAACAACGTTTATTATACAGGATTTATAATAGCGGATTTAACGGCACATACACACCACAAAGCGTTCGTCGCGGCAATTTCTGTAGTACTCTTCGTCCAACGGCGTTTCACTTGTCTTACAGTCAGACGAAGCGCATGTGTGGGCCAAAGTTTTAAGTAAGCGATTTGAGACAAAGCGCGAATATTTAAATAATAAAATAGGAATTAATTCATTCTGGAACATGATCGCGAATAATAAACAATATTTTCCTATCAATTTACTTCTAAATGCCCAATTAAACGAATACATGAATTTCTTAGAATACTGCAGAATTTTACGTAAAAATTATTAAAAATTTCGATGCGATATCTAATTGTACAAAAAAGGCTTACCAAAATATGAGTGGCATGTCACGACGCTTCTGTCAAAAATAAGGGTAGATTAGATATTAGATTTAAAAGGAGTTTGACATTATGTGTCCGTGTCCACCGCGACCTTTTCAGATCTATTGTGGGACTCCCGTTTGTTTTAGAGTATGTCATCTAAGCTTGGACTTTTTTATTAGACTTAGTTTCCTTGACCGTGGCATCCACATGCATGTAGTTACATGTGTCTGGCTTTTTTTCATCTAGTATAAGAAACCTCAATCTAGTTAGGCTTTCACATTGGTGCAGAAACGAATTGTTTAACTAGGTGTAAGTAGACGTTTGCAATAAATACTTATAAATTACCTTTTACCTATATCAATACGAAAGTATGTATATAAAGACACTTGTTTACTTACTCTATTAGCAAAACATTGGATTTCAAATAAAATAATCGATTATTATAGATAAATAAATCTTTAGGTGAAGTGTGATCTAAACAAACTTGACATTGGACAATGTCTCTCGGAAACCTGTAGACGTATATACCATAAAATAACCAGTTTCTACAATTAGGTATTTTTATATCAAAAAATAAATAAAACCCTAGCACTGTTGTTACGCCCATGGATATCTACATTATTTACATTTCATGAGATTGATTTTGACATAACCTACCTGTGAAAATAGCAAGCATTGGTTTTGGGTGGTTTTGGTCCAAAATGTTCGGAAAACTATGCATCTTTTTACTATTTTGAAATGTATAATCATGTTTGTAAATAATTTCTTTTATATAAATAAATAAAACAAGAATATTCCACTAAAATAAAACACCGAATGACACTTTTAAAAACTTACAGAAACAGGGTTGACAAATGTTCAGTTAAAATATAGTATTTAATGGTTAAATCGATGGATCGTAGTGAACAAAATTTAAACATCTAATTTAAACACCGATTCAATGCAGAAAAAAATTAAATGAGAAATTTTATGAAGATGATCCAGATTCTTAAATGAACTGTTAAAAATTAAGCTCTATATTAAGTATTTCGAACCTTGAAACATTGGGAACTAATAATTATTATCTTTATGCGTTTAACCGAAAGAGACACTGTGGCAACCTCTGCTGGTACCACCGTTTGTTGTGCATGCGATTATGGACCATATTATCATATGACACATGTTTATGGAAACAAGGCGTATCTATTCCAATACGTGATCGAATTTCTTAGTGTGACTGTCAAATCGAAAAATTAAAAACAATATGGCTACGTGAGAATGTCGTGAATAAATGCAAATTCTTAATTTTTTAACTTACAAATGTGTTTTAATAATATTTGTTGCTTTAATTAGGTTAGTGCACACTTATAGAATATTAAAATGTGTAAAAATATTATGGTTTTACTTAATCTTTATGGAAAAAGTGACAAAATTACGCACCCTAATATCGACGGTAGTTTATTGAACTACATTTAGTGAAAAAACTGGTTCTTTATTGCACTAGTGCAATAAAAAATTTATTGCCCTCATCTGTCATTTTACTACAGTGTTTGATGATCATGACAAACATAAATATTCAAATCGACGCCAAATATTTAGTCCATTTTCATTTTCTGTGAGATTGTTTTATTAACAATTGCATATTTTATATTATTTTCAATCATTTAATAAATAAATTAATAAAAAAAAATATTAATATTGAAAATTGTACATTTACTTTTATTATTATTATTAGGCAAAAACAACGTTTAAGCTTAATTATTGCTCATAACACAATTATTCCTAAAGTTTTGGTTAAATTATTTTTCTTAACATAGTTATAGTACTTTTACAATGTTAATCGATGCTAATTATTAGTTGTTAAATATTTTGCTATTAAATTACGCTTTTTATTCTTCTGCACTTAGGTCGCCTAAATAAAACATTTTTTGGTTTTTGCATGAACGTAGAAAAAATATTGTATGCAACTCGTGCAAAAAGTCTTTATTGCACTCGACAATTTCAAGTCGCGTGCTTGATACAAATTTATATACCGGGTGTTCAAATTAAAGTGTTACAGTTAAACACCGCCGAAAATATGCATTTTAAAAAAAAAGTTTCAGACAAAAGTTTTATAGTTTTTTGGGGGAAACATTTTGGCTAAATTCATTTTTTTATAGCTGACCATAATATGGCCATATCGAGGTGAACTTTGTTTTTTTAAATGGGAATCCCATTTTTTTCTTACATATTCTTAAAGTACATAAAAAAATAAGAAACTTTTGAGGGAAATATTTTTTTTATTGGACTTTTACTTTTTGAGTAACAGCTACTTGAAAATGTTGCTGCGCGAAAAAAAAGTTGGCCATATTATAAAAAACGATTTTACCCAAAAGTTTTTCCCTACAAAACTATAAAACTTTCGTTTGAAACGGTTTTTTTTATATAAAAAGCGGTATATAGCTGTAACGCTTTAATTTAGAACACCCGGTATAAACAGCGAACCCAACGACTATGTTGATGAACTTGATAAATGAACTGAAAGTTAATGAACAAATCAATATAATTAAATCTGTTTTAAGAAAATCCTTAAACAAATATAGAGTATGATTACATATTGATAGATACAAATTTCATTCCTTAAAAAAACATCTATCCACTGCTAGAAGGTGTAAAAATCCGCGGACGTAGCGGAATTACACCACTATTGGCAACATTGGGTAGAGTCGTACTTACTCACAAATATCCTTCAGAGGGCGTATCACTTAATCTGAATCTTAGATATTCTTGTAAAACATTGTCACTGATACTATGCAGTACTACTTTGATTATTGTGATATTTAAATCATACTACCTATCTAACGGCGTCTTTCACTGCAATCAGTGAATTCTGAGTTTATTTTCATTTTCTTGTCATACAGATAAAGAAATATACTCAGCGCGTACTGCAAGTGCCAGTGAAAAACGCTATAACTTGTATTTGTTTCAGTTCGACAAGCTACATTTACTGGTTACGAAAATCGAAGAATATTTGAGTATAGCTAAAGATATAGTCGGAAATGCTTGTCATGCAGCATTGCTAGCAAAAGGTTTCATAGTAGATGAACGAATTGTTGAAGATCCCAATGGTAAGATGAATGATAGATTCAACAATAAATCTGATTCAAGTTCTATTTACTTTGTAATATATATATATATATATATATATATATATATATATATATATATATATATATATATATATATATATATATATATATATATTAGGGTGTATCATTTTTAAGCAACTTTTTTTTTCAACTAAAAAACAGGCTAAAAACTTTCAGGAAGGTGAAAAAAGAAGCCTCTAAAAATTTGAGCTCATAATATTATCATTTAGTGGTGCCTCTTCTTAACTTTCCATTTTCCATCTAAATAACATGGAAAAATTGTTTTCCTTTTTTCTTATTTTTATAGCTTGACATTTGAGCATTGTAAAAATAAAGTAAAACATTATTTTGCTAGGAAATTGAACGCTCTACAAAAAGTTTTAATTAATTTTTTTCATAGAGTGAGCCGTTCTGAAGATATTCAAACTTAAAGTTGCAAATGTATGAAATTAGTACTTTTATTTTATTAAACTAATGACTTTTTTATGTCTTATTAATTATTTTCAAGAAAACATCAGTATTTTCATATAAAAAGAAAATAAGGACGCACAGAAGACAAAAATTCACCAGAAATATTTTTAAACAAAAATATAAGTGACTTTGTTTCAAAACAATCATTAAAACTTTTTGACAAATTTGATTTGACGTACGACTTTCTGAATGCAGATGTCCTAATTTGGCCAGATAATGAAAGTTATCAAGAGAATTTGGAGTTTTTCGAAAAATTGAAAGTTGTCAATGACGTTGCAGGACATGGCGTCGCATTAGTAGAAGAATATAATAGATGGCTAACTAAAGACGAGGAACAATTTTAATATTTATTACAAGTGGTAAAGGAGCACCGACGAAAATATCCAAATTATAATAGGAAAACTTCAACAAATATAGTTACATCATTTAATTCTGACATTAAAATATCTATTAGTTTCAAAATTTTAGTATGCTAATTGTTAAAAAGTTTTTTTTAATATATAAAATAATAATTTTACTGAACCTAATTCATAATTACTTTTGTTTAACAGTTAATCAAATAATCAATTTGCTAGCAAAATAATTTTTTACTTTATTTTTACAATGCTCAAATGTCAAGCTACAAAAATAAGAAAACATTTTTTTCCATGTTATTTAGATGGAAAATGGAAAGTTAGGAACAGGCATCAGTAAATGATAATATTAAGAGCTCAAATTTTTAGAGGCTTCTTTTTCACCTTCCTGAAAGTTTTCAGCCTGTTTTTTAGTTGAAAAAAAAAGTTGCCTAAAAATGATACACCCTAATGGTTATGCAATAGTAGCTATGTCTTTCATAGCTGAGCATTTCATAATAGTTACAAAGGGTACTTTTCTAATGCAAAATGACTTTCCGTCAAATAAATTTTGGAAAAATTATAGTATTTAATCTCTAAATTTAATATGTACATACATACATACATATATATATATATATATATATATATATATATATATATATATGCAAAATGCCTTATACACCTCCAAAATATATATGTTTTCAAAGAATTCGCCTCAAAAATCGGAGGCGACTTCGAAAAATCGGAGGCCAAATCGAATGTATGTGTATAACAGGTTCATTTATGTTTTTACAACAATGGGAGGTGTTTGCCAAATTTTTTGTCGGAGGCCATTTCGTGACATACACATATACAGTTACACAATGAACTTGGCCGATTTTCCACTACGCGGCGCCACCCTCTAATACACATATATAGGCACATACTTGGGCAATACGAATTAGCCTTTAAGTAGTCTTCACGTCAATCTACCTCCTAAATTTGGCAACAATGAACGGAGGTGTGTTGGTGAGGTGCACTTTTATATACATAATATTTCATAGGAGGTGTGTTGGTGCGATGCACTTTTATATACCTAATATTTCATTTACTATTATTCCTACCGGAAATTTTTATTTTTGGACCTTTCGCGACTTCATATATAATTATTGCATACGGATGGACTTAACTATACTTATAAAAATGTTTATTTAAAATAAAAAAAAGTGATTTTTCATAATTTCTTTTGCTTGTTAAATAAATATGGTACACGTTAAGAAACTTCGAGTTTTTGTACAGGGTGTACAATAAAAATACAATTTTGGATTTCCAAAATGAAAATTTTGTTAATACAGTTTTTTTGAACCGCTCAAATTAAGAGATTTTAAGGAGAACTCAAATAGCCAAATATTATTAAATATCATCCAAGTCCATCCAACTCCATCCTTGGACACAATATATATTTATTGGCTCCTTTCAAAGCTATATAACTTTTAAACTAGTTAAGATAACTAAATGCAGTTTTCACTAGTCGTCTTTTTTTCTGAGTGTGTCTTTTTTTTTGCTCACTTTTTGTTAAACCGAAAATGTCGTAGACCTAGTATTTTCAAATGGAAGATCCTGTAGATTTTTATATATTTAGAATCATTCTTCTTTTTACTTTTTAAAAATGTAGATGCTGTAATAGTTTAAAAAAATTGAAACAAAAAAACTAAAAAATTACACTTTGAATAATAATTGAAATAATTATAAATCCTCTCGAAAATTAATAAAGTTTTAAGAGGGCCTAATAAATAATGACGGAATATCAATAAAAATAAAATACTTGTTTACAGAACATATTTATTTAAAAAAGGTACAAACATTAAAAGCTCAAATTAAAAAAGTACATACAAATTTAATGGATTGGTCCCACCCAAGAAACAGAGCTTGGAAATATTGGATATAACCCTAATATTACGATTTTCGCTTGAGTTGGAACGGTATAATAGGTTTTATAGTAACCGGTAAACGGAGGGGGAAAATTTTATGGCGTGAAAAGATCTGACATAGCCAGTCCCGTTTTCAAATTATTTATTAAAAACTAAAATTCTGGTTTTATTTATTGACTTGCCGAAAAATGGTACTTTTTTAACCGACTTCAAAAAAAGGAGGAGGTTATCAATTCGTCGAGATATTTTTTTTTATGTATGTTCAGCGATTATTCTTCAGCACGGTGTCCGATTTCAATAATTCTTTTTTTGTTAGAAAGGGGGTACTTCAGGGGTGGTCCCATATAAATTTGGTCAAAATATAATAATTGGGTCCGTGAGAAAATCCTCACACTCTTCATTTTTTATGTATGTTTAGCGATAATGCTTTACCAAATTGTCCGATTTATATGATTCTTTTTTTGTTAGTAAGGGGATACCTCAAGGGTGGTCCCATATAAATTTGGTTAAGATATGGTGACGGCATCTGCATGTTTTTGAAGTCGGTTTTTTTAAATTTTTAATTTCTAATACTTGTAAACATTATATACTTTAAAACTAGCTATTCAAATCGATTACACAAAATTTTCTCTATTTGAAACCAAGATTTTCTAAGGTTTTAAGTATATTGTATATCGGGAGTCCATAACATTGGGCTGGTAATAATGATTTTAATTAATTAAAAGTTGAAATTTAAGTAATTAGTAATTTCAGGTCAGTAATTATTTTTTTATGTACTGATTATGTAATTTTTTAAAACACAGGTAAAGTGCTTTATTGGTTACATTTCTATATACAAAATAGAATATTTGAGGATCGTATTTGAAATAATCGATGGCGAAACGAAAAATAGTATTTACAACATTTTTTTTTGTCAAGAAATAAAATCGCAAAAGCTGAAAAACGAAAATAAAAAATTTAATTGTTCCTTAACAACATAAAAAGGTTTCTGTTTGAGGGATATTGTTCCCCTTAATAGGTAACATTTATCACATCTGACCGAATTTGTATATCAAACCATTTACGAAATCCCCATCCTCTGCATCTTTATGAGGCACATCATTTAAAAAGAATTAAAACAATAATAATTAAAATGAAACGAAATTCAAAAATTCTTATAAAAGCACAGTATTGCTATAAACTAATAAATTATTTATTTATTTCTGTAAATATTGTAAACAAATGTTTTTACTCTAACCCAATCTTTGTTTCCAAGAATATCTGGATGGTTTTTGATTAAATTTAGACATTCATCCTTTTTAGGGGCCTTTTTTAATGTAATATTATTTTTGAAATGGGTTTTCACCAGTTGCGCTTGTTCGGATGTCCAACGAGTCCTTCCCTGAATATTTATCTTCGTTTTAATACTCTCGGTGTTATCTGCAATTAAAATTACTTTTAATAACGGCTCCTTTAACAGGTAGATACTTCATAGTTTGAACATACGAGGTGCGGAACATAAAACTAGAACATTACGATACTGATGGAAATGTCAAAATTTGAAGATAAAGGTGAATCATTTAGTGACTATATTTTACACAAAAATTTCCTTTATTCCCTTTCTACTCATATCTCTAACTTGTTTTTTGTTGTTATTTTGTGTTGTTGCCTGGGATGAACTAGTGTTAATACATTAATGCAATTTTTTTTACATCCTGTATGATAAAGGTACAACAATAATATTTTTGTACAACTTAAACTTTAAAATAATAAAGGTACTCTTTATCAATATCAATAAAGTGAACTATTTTCGAAAAAACAAGAATATTTTTGTTTAATATCCTATTTATTAAATAGCTTTGTATGTCAGTTCATCATAAGCTCCTTCTAATCTTATGTATTATCTAACTCTAAGAATTGAAATTTGGACCATTCGCAATATCTCAACAAGTAATTTAAAATTATTTAAAAGAAAAATACAGGGGTCTTCGTATCGCTGTAGGAAAAAATATGTTAATTTTATGTATTCTATCTGAATTAGGGTAAACGCCTACATACTCTAGGACACCTTGTATATTTTCTACATGTCCAAACTAATATATTTTAGATATTTCAGCGATTCAAAATGAGAATCACATTTTCAGAATTCTTTAGTAGTGCCGTAAAAACCACACCCCCAAAAATGTATTTTATTAAAATCCATCTATTCAGGAAAATCATTATTTAGATTTTTTAACTACGTCTTATTTTTATATTTTTTTAAACATGTAATAATAATTATATTACTTTAATTTCATTAATATTGGTACCGTTTAGCGATTTAGTGCAAAATAAATGATTATAAATTAATACTTTTTTATCTAAAGAGCGCAAAACTTTCTTACTCGAATAACATTAACTAACTTACCTTCGTCAGCGAAATTTACACGGGCTAACTCAACGAGTCTGCGAGACCTAAAAATAATAGATTATAAGTGGATTGTAAAATTCTAAATAATTTTTTTACCAACCTATCCATTGCTCTGATACACTTTACATGTACAACATACAACTCATAGATCCGGAGCCCAATGCAATGATACCTCTTAGTGATAACCATAGGTATATATAATCAGGAAACGAATCGACCCCCACTACCAACTGCACGTTACCTGAAATATGGCAACGGTGCTGGAGGCGTAAAGGGCAACTTCTCTTGCAAAATTTTATACAAAAGAGGCGGATCACTTAAATAATTTGTGGAAGCGTGTTACATTTATAAATATGCTCAAAATTTGTATATTTTTAAGTACTTTGTTTTTTACCCCTCAAGGGCTCCATCTATAAAAATATAGTTTTTAATTCTCTTGGAATCAAATACACTCATTTGGTTTTAGTATTTAACATGGAGGCTTGGGTGCCTGTATTACGTATGGAGGCGAATAAGATAGCTGTGCATGTATATATATATATATATATATATATATATATATATATATATACATACATATGAAGCTAATAAAAGCGTGTTAAAAAGGAGATTTTTCTGGAAGTCTATGGCTAAACAGATAAGAGAATATGTAAAAACTGGTCGAATATGTCAAATTAATAAACTTAAATATTTACCTAAACCAGATTTTATACATATCTCACAATTCTCTCAAATTCCATTTGAAACTGTACATATTAGTACATTTCAAAATTTTTTGCACGGTTGAATAGAGAATAAAACCCCCTTTCAAATGAGCTATCACTCACCACTACATGCTATTTAAATTTTTCGAAAGAGTTGCTCCCCTCCAGTAAGGGATGAAATTAAGGGTAAACTATTAATACAAAAATGTACATTGTAGAAATCAAAAATCGACGTGTCTCGTCGATTTTCCTAACAAGACTCCGGTAACGAATAAGACTTATGATGCTCACTGTATAGCTCCTTTAGCGCTATATTCCAACCTAGTGATTTTTGTTTATCCAATATGTTCAGCTTTTTTAATATTTGCTGGAATGGTCGAATCAATATTTTTATCTACTTTATCTTGCTTTCTACCAGATCTAGATTTGTATATTAGATTGTTTACATTACTGGGTTTTATATGAGGGCTACTCTTGTCATTTAAGTAAGTTTTGTTTCTTTCTGATGTCTTATTGTTTTCACTTTATACATTTTCTTGGCTTCTTCGTATTAATTTTTATTTGGAGATAATTTTTAAACCAAGACTTTCATCCGAATTGAATTACCGTCTGTGTACTGCTATTTTATAGATTTTGGTATTCCCTACTAAAGTTTTTTTATCACATGTAACAAGATAATAAAAACAATCATAAAAAATTATAAAACCATATTTAAAATTATTCCAATCTAACCTCGTATCAAACATTTTTTTTTTTTTTTTTAGATAGAGGCCGAAAAAGACAGCATAAAGTTTCATATATCGAGCAAGCGGCAAAAAAGAAGTTTTGTAAACGTCTAGCCTGGTAACTGTTTTAATTAATGTCAATTTAAACCAGTCCAATATGTGCTGATTTGTTATTTTAGTTTTATAATTTTGGTGGATTATTTGACGATTACCATGCTCCATCAATTGATTACTGGATCTATAGATTTGCTGTTATATTATTTGCAATGGCATACGAGCTTTCTTCCTACGCAAGAGGAATTAGAGGCCGATGAACCGCTTATTATGGAAGTTCTACGAGATGAAGGAGCACCACAGGTACAGAGATATTTTTAGGAAATTGCTCTAGGTATTAACATTTATGGAACTATTAATATTTTCTAACATTTATTGTATTATGGAAGTTCTACGAGATGGAGTCCCACATGTACAAAGTAATTTTTACAAAATTGCTCTCAATTTTAACATTTCTGGAACTATTGATATTTTGTAACATTTCCTAAGTCTAGCAGTTCTATATATCGACCGCCCCTGTGGTAGTGGAAGAAGTAGGGGAGGGGAAAGTTGGCCCATTTGAAATCCTTTATTAGTTTTTTATATTTCTTACGAGCCTCTATCCGTCCATGTAATATTGTAGATGTTGGTTTTAAATTAACGGGTGCTCATGTTCGCTATGGGCTAATTTTATTAGTGAATCATAATTTATAATTGCGTTGATTACGTCCCTGCCCTTTGTACACACCGCCCGTCGCTACTACCGATTGAATGATTTAGTGAGGTCTTCGGAATGAGCGCGGTGGCGTTTCGGCATCGTCGATGCTTCGGAAAGATGACCAAACTTGATATTTTAGAGGAAGTAAAAGTCGTAACACTTGGTTATTATTTTTGCGATTTGGGGAGGGGGGAAGGGAGGAGGGGGTTGAAAGAGGTAAATATTTCGATAGAATTAGGGGGGAAATGGTAAAGTAGGCGAATTGGTAAAACGACTGTTACTTCCTCTTAAAAAGAAGAGGTAAAGGGAAATATTTCGATAGAATTAGCAGAGGACGCGGATAGGATGAAAATATACAAATAATGATTATATATTGTGCAGCGACCCCTTCGGGGACACTGACGGGATGTTTCGTCTGGAAATCTCTTATACGTAATTTTGCCGAAAAAAACTGGGGCCCGAGGAAATTTCTGTGTACGTAGTGAGTTAGAGAGGGGCAAAGGGTGTTTGGAAAAAATATTAAAAAAATTATTCGTTTGTAATAAATTATCGAAAAACAAAAAAAGATTTTCAAAACGTCATAAAAAAGTGACAGTTGACAGGTGAAAAATTTAATACCGATTCCGTCTACCTTGGATATCTAGGGCATCTATCACTAACATAATCTCTCTTCCCAAGTGCACCCAGTTCCCACAAAAGGGAGTCGTAGTTCGAAAAACACGATTTTTTACGATTTTTGGTGGTTTTTTGCGATTGCCATAGAAAGCACCGAAGGGATTTTTATGCCGATTTTTTTTTGGAAGCGTCTCATGGATCTACATTTTTGACCTAAATTTCATTAAAATCGCTTTAACCGTTCGGACGCTACGATTTTTTAAAGTCGCCCGGACACCCCTCATACGAAATTGGTCCGAAAGAAACTGACGCCCGAGGAAATTTTTGTGTGCGTGATGAGGTAGAGAGAGGCAAAAGGGTGTTTGAGAAAAATATTAAAAAAATTATTCGTTTGTAATAAATCACCGAAAAAGCAAAAAGAAATTTTCAAAACGTCATAAAAAAGTGACAGTTGACAGGTGAAAAATCTAATACCAATTCCGTCCACCTTTGATATCTAGGGCATCTACCACTGACATAATCGCCCTTCCTAAGTGCACCCAGTTCCCACAAAAGGGAGTCGTAGCTCGAAAAACACGATTTTTGGTGGTTTTTTGCGGTTGCCATAGAAACCACCAAAAGGATTTTTATGCCGATTTTTTTTTTGGAGCGTCTCATGGATTTATATCCTCGACCTAAATTTCATTAAAATCGCTTTAACCGTTCGGACGCTACGATTTTTTAAAGTCGCCCGGAAATTGGTCCGAAAGAAACTGACGCCCGAGGAAATTTTTGTATGCGTGATGAGGTAGAGAGGGGCAAAGGGTGTTTGAGAAAAATATTAAAAAAATTATTCGTTTGTAATAAATCGTCGAAAAAGCAAAAAAAAATTTTTCAAAACGTCATAAAAAAGTGACAGTTGACAGGTGAAAAATTTAATACCGATTCCGTCCACCTTGGATATCTAGGGCATCTACCACTGACATAATCGCCCTTCCCCATTGCACCCAGTTCCCACAAAAGGGATCCGTAGCTCGAAAAACACGATTTTCGGTGCATTTTCGCCGTTACCATGGAAACCGCCAAACAGATTTTCACGCGTAGTAAGTTCAATTTTATTCCAAAGGTAATTATGCATAAAATTTTTAAATTTGGCTTTCACATGACAATACGCTTATTTGAACTGTCATATGTCACACAGTCACACATTCCTTATAAAATTACCTTTTCAATGATGTGTCACACTTAGTACTTTCCCTATTTCAATTTCATAGCTAATGGTGACAGGGGGGGGTGGGTTGGCTCAGTGGTTAGAGAAGGTCTCAGGATCGAATCCCACCGGTGACAGGAATTTTTATTTAATTAAAAAATAATTAAATATTAATTCTAATCCCAACTCGACCATTCACTGTTGGGTTGTAATTAACAGTGCGGTTCCTAAAAAAAAAAAAAAAAGTGACAGAGGAGTGGGGAGGGATAAAAAGTGTCTTCAAGATATGCGATCTGTTTCGTTTTCAGTGCCTCACCCTGTATATAGATATTAGAGCTCTACTTACATAATGTTGAATGCACGGTTTTTTTGTATATTGTAAAAGAAAATTTACAAAGGTATTGCATTTGATGTAAATACACAAATAACACTTTTAATGAACCTATTTTTTATTATCTTTTAATAACCATTTAATCTTTCAAACGCAAAATATTCGATCCGATTAGCTTGGAATTCAGTTTATGCTGGCATAGTTTTCATCCCTAAGCTAAAATAAAAAAACATAGTTTCCTTCTTTTTGCAGGTTCCATATTTTATCAAGTATATTAGAGTCCATCCAAATAAAATATTACTAGATCCATCTCTAGAACTTACTTTGAATTTGTTCGAGCAGATTTTTGTTATGTGGGAAGATAATGTTAAATCTGTTACTACATTTATTGGAGACCCTTATTATGCTGCATTTACAACGTAACTCTAAAGAGGTTCAATTATATGACTTAAATTATGACAAAACTGTAATTTTTAGGCCTGTTATTAACGAAAAGGTTGAAGAACGGATTTGCGGTTGGGGTCCAAGTTTGGAATTTTATTTAACCGGAGACACGCATTTGGCTGGTCTAAAAACGAAATTTAACAATATATTTAAACAAAATTACGACGCTGCCTTTACGTACCTCAAAAGATTCGATAATATCAGCAAGTTTTATGCCGAAGATGTTGTCATTACGACAGAAGATGTTCATAATGAGACAAGTAAGTAATTTGTTAAGTTCGATAAATGGGCCCGTTCACTTTCATTTTTGAATGTGAATTAATTATATATTTATAAAGATATTAAACTCTTTTGTCTGGTGGTACTTTTCCCGTTAAGATATTTTTGCTAGAAGTGAGGGAATTCCCATAAAATTCTTTCAGTGACTCATTGCGTCAGAAAATCCCTAATTCCGTTCACGTCTCGTATCGGTTATGCTTAAAGACGGCGAGGTTGTCGGAAGTATCCCTAATATAGCATTTCTGCATTTATATATGTAATTTAAATAGTAAAATTCCATTATTTTTCTAAAAATAATGAACTTATATTTTCAGATTTAAAGCTGGGAGCTTAATTTTTACTTTTTAATTAAAACAATTATTATTACTCAGGCTGAAAATTAACTAGACCATAATCAAAAAGTAGAAATTTGATTTACAATATTTATCTGGTAAACGTGGCAACGTTGCATTTATTTCTAGAAGTGGTAGACAACACTATTTAGAAGTACTTACAACGTTGTCACGTTTACCAGATACATTTTCTCAAATAAAATTTCGATCTGGTAATATTCAGATCGAAATATTAGTAATACTAATTGTTTTTATTAAATTTTAAAAAAGGTAAGGCTTCCAGCTTTATCTGAAAATATAAACACATTATTTTTAAAAAATAATATATTTTTATCATGTAAATTTCTTTAATAAATGCAGAAGAGGAATGGTGGTGCAATGATACATCCGACAACCACGCCCTTTTAACTATTAACCGATACAAGACCTGAAGGGAATTAGGGGTTTTCTGACGCAATGAGTAACTGAAAGAATTTTATGGGAATTCCCTTACTTCTAGCAAAAATATCTTAACGGGAAAAGTACCACCAGACAAAAGAGTTTAATATCTTTATAAATATATAAATAATTCACATTCAAAAATAAAAGTGAACGGGCCCATGGCAAGGTTGTTGCTCCCAACAAGGAATTTGTCCATAAAACCAGCAAAAATAATAAACAAGAAGATTTACTGTAAGCTCCGCCTTCTTTTATCTTATTTCCATGTGGCTGTGCTTGGTCATTGTTGTAACCTTATCTAGGAGTTGGCCAGAGTCTGTCGCATTACTTGCGAAAAAAACCCGTAATGAAAATAAATGAAAATAAATGAAAATAAATGAAAATAAATGAAAATAAATGAAAATAAATGAAAATAAATGAAAATAAATGAAAATAAATGAAAATAAATGAAAATAAATGAAAATAAATGAAAATAAATGAAAATAAATGAAAATAAATGAAAATAAATGAAAATAAATGAAAATAAATGAAAATAAATGAAAATAAATGAAAATAAATGAAAATAAATGAAAATAAATGAAAATAAATGAAAATAAATGAAAATAAATGAAAATAAATGAAAATAAATGAAAATAAATGAAAATAAATAAAAATAAATGAAAATAAATGAAAATAAATGAAAATAAATGAAAATAAATGAAAATAAATGAAAATAAATGAAAATAAATGAAAATAAATGAAAATAAATGAAAATAAATGAAAATAAATCAAAATAAATGAAAATCAATGAAAATCAATGAAAATAAATCAAAATAAATCAAAATAAATTAAAATAAATCAAATTAAATCAAATTAAATCAAATTAAATCAAATTAAATCAAATTAAATCAAATTAAATCAAATTAAATCAAATTAAATCAAATTAAATCAAATTAAATCAAATTAAATCAAATTAAATCAAATTAAATCAAATTAAATCAAATTAAATCAAATTAAATCAAATTAAATCAAATTAAATCAAATTAAATCAAATTAAATCAAATTAAATCAAATTAAATCAAATTAAATCAAATTAAATCAAATTAAATCAAATTAAATCAAATTAAATCAAATTAAATCAAATTAAATCAAATTAAATCAAATTAAATCAAATTAAATCAAATTAAATCAAAATAAATCAAAATAAATCAAAATAAATCAAAATAAATTATTAGTACACTGACCGCAATGTCACTAGTCCGCACCAACCATGGTGCGACGACTCTGGAAAATTGACCACAGTAATCCCAAAATAAACGCATACACTGACCGCAATGTACTAAGCGAGAACACACAATCTAACTCACTTTACTTTTGATTACACCTCGTAGAGGACAACAAAATATAAATAAATAGTCAAATTCAAATAAGTTTTAATTATTTAATTATTTAGGATATAAGGTTGTCTCAATATATTTACGTCAGAATTGACAAATTAACTATAAAAGATTGATGGATAATAATTGGGTAATGTAATTTGCAAAATAACTTGATTACAAATTAAAACAAAACTAATTGATAAAACATAATTACTCAGTAAGAAAAACTCACCCTGTTCAGCAAACAGTCACTCACAAATATTATAATTATTCACTAGTTTATTATTATTGGAACAAACTTTAATTTTGTTCTGCAAAGCAACTAATCCAAATTTAAAATGATCTGTATTTTATGGTTACTTGATATTTTACCCTTAGTTCCCATACTCGTAATTCGATACCTCCGTATCTTAATAGTGTTAACATAAACATAGGCTGTAACTGTTTTGGGAGACAAATATTTCGTGCGTTTAAAAACCGAGTGTTTTGTAAAATAAAACTTATTAAATTTATATAGAAAATAAAATTATTCTTACAATACTTACACCGTTTTCATGTTTTCACCTTACTGTAGATTACATTTTTAGCAAGATTTACAATCTTAGGTGAATAGATTTAAATATATCCCACAAACTTTGTAACAAATTGACAACACTGCCATGTTAATTCAAATGGCCGTAACTGCAATTTTCCTTGAAATAAAGATATAACCACTACGTATGACAACAATGAATTTTTTGTCTATCTCTATAACTTTCATGGATATATCTTCAATAAAACCCGAGATTTAACGCTTAGAAATTTGGGCGCAAGTGATTTTTCTTGAAAAATCGATTTTTCTCCCGTTCAAGTATTAAACAGATACGGCCATTTGAATTAACACGGCAGAACAGCACCTCTGGTACTTTATATTTATGGTTTTTTCATAGATTAATGCTAAAATTGGTACCATTCGTTTTTAGACACCATACACTAATGTAATTTTTACTATGTACATACATTTAAATAACACCCCGTATAAAAGTATCAGAACTATTAAGGAACCTTTACAAGCGGATGTTGTTAAAATGAAGTGTTTTCCTACAGGTTGTGAAAAATTCAGATACATGTGCAGAAGGTATCATGATGAAATTGATCTCATTGAGAGTATTTATCCTTATCAGTCAATGGGAGTTATACACATTAATTTGAAGAATTTTGCAGAAGTCTGTCTACCAGAGGCTAAACGATTGTTGGAATTGCTTGAAATAACGTTACCTTGGTAAGTATTTTTTTATTCTATTGTAAAAATGGCGTGTTTAGTGTAATAGGCTATTGATAATATCCTAAAAAAGGGGGCAGTAAGGAAATATCACCTACGCGGGTTTTTATGAATCATTCAAATGGAGAGGGTGGAAATTGTAAATAGAAAATACTGCAACCCTTATAGCTTTTTAATTATATCTGGAAAACGAAGCAAAATTTAGCTATAGTTAATAGGAAATTGTTTCCCTTCGAAATAGTTTATTTAAAACATTTTAAAAAAATATGTAAAGAATATTAAAAAAAGAGAATTTAAAAAACACAAATAAATACAATTTTAAAAATTTTAAATTGCAAAAATTGTATTTGTATAATATGCACCAACATGTTACGTATGTGTTAAAAATGGCTTTATTCCTTCTAATGTAACTGAGATAATAGCAGCATTTTTCCCTTGAAGAGGTCAAAATGCTTATTTTGGATCTTGCTGAAGCTTGACCCATTTAAGATTACCTTCTGTTTTTCCTGTTGTCTAGAGTGTGGCTTTTCATCCAAACTCCCTTGATTCACCTAATTGTGCCTACTAGCGGAATGCGAAGCCGACAAAATCTTAAATGGATGGATCAAGCTTCAGCAAGACCCAAAATAAACATTTTTAATTTTTCAAGAGAAAAATACTGTTAATTTTGAGTTTGTGCCTCAGCTTGGCCCATTTGAGAAGTGTTTGTTATCTGTCGGCACGATAGCTAGAGGGCGTACTGTGACTGTGAGAAGAATGAATCTAGTAGAGTAATTTAACGTTATTATTAATTAATAATAATATACTCAAATAGTTTCTTAATATAAACAACAAATAAATTATCAATCAAAAATGAGATTAATCTCAAATAATCGCCACTTACAATAATTAGTGAGTTTTAACTTTAGGAATCTGAAATGAAATCAAAAGGGTTGAAAACACTTTAAAACATGAACATCATCAGCAGGGTCTTCGGTGTCTCCCTGCGTTTTCTTTACTTGTTTGAAAAAAAAATTTAGAAAATTATTTAGAATTTTCCAATTGCCACATGCAAGAATTTCGTTCAGGGGAAGTCGGGGCAAAGTGGCATAGCTAAGGTTTGATTAATTATTAAAATAGTACCTATTGAATGATGAGTATATATTTAACTAGCTATTTCCCGCGGCTTTGCTCGCGACTTTGCTCGCATATAGTCGTATTATTAATATAAAAAAATACATGACTTCCTTTTTTATTAATTTTTATTAGTTTTATTGATTTTCATTCATTTTTTTTATATTTATTCTTTTTTTTTTTTAATTTTTATTCATTTGTATTCATTTTTATTCATGTTTATTAATTTTTATTAATTTTTATTTTTTATTAATTTTTATTAAATTTTTATTAATTTTTATTAATTTTTATTAATTTTTATTTTTTATTAATTTTTATTAATTTTTATTAATTTTTATTAATTTTTATTAATTTTTATTAATTTTTATTAATTTTTATTAATTTTTATTAATTTTTATTAATTTTTATTAATTTTTATTAATTTTTATTAATTTTTATTAATTTTTATTAATTTTTATTAATTTTTATTGATTTTTATTAATTTTTATTAATTTTTATTAATTTTTATTAATTTTTATTAATTTTTATTAATTTTTATTAATTTTTATTAATTTTTATTAATTTTTATTAATTTTTATTAAATTTTTATTAATTTTTATAAATTTTTATTAATTTTTATTAATTTTTATTAATTTTTATTAATTTTTATTAATTTTTATTAATTTTTATTAATTTTTATTAATTTTTATTAATAATTTTTATTAATTTTTATTAATTTTTATTAATTTTTATTAATTTTTATTAATTTTTATTAATTTTTATTAATTTTTATTAATTTTTATTAATTTAATTTTTATTAATTTTTATTAATTTTTATTAATTTTTAATAATTTTTAATAATTTTTATTAATTTTTATTAATTTTTAATAATTTTTATTCATTTTTATTCATTTTTTATTAATTTTTATTAATTTTTACCACCGTTTAAAATGTGAAAATCCAAAAACCATGAAACACTTCATTATTTATTTATGATGAGAACCTACAATTCCAATTTTCAATCAAAAAATCGATATTTCCAAATAAACTTTCACCCCCCGTTTCCCCCCCTTAAAATGTGAAAATCCAAAAACCCTAAAACTCGTAATTATTAATTTGTACTCATTAGCTGCAATTCCAATTTTCATGTGTCTAACTTCAAAGAGAACAAACAAAGTTATACTCCCATACAAACTTTTACCCCCGTTTGCCCCCCTCAAGATGTAAAAATATAAAAACCCTAAAACGCATTATTATTAATTTGTACTCAGTAGCTGGAATTCCAATTTTCATGTTTTTAACTTTAAAGAGAACCAAAAACATGGATACTCCCAAATAAATTTTCACCCCCCGTTTCCCCCCTTAAAACGTGAAATTCCAAAAACTTTGAAACTTGTCATTAATAATTTGTAGTCAGTAGCTGCAATTCCAATTTTCATGTTTCTAACTTCATAGAGAACAAAAAAATTGATAGTCCCTTGCAAACTTTTACCCCCCGTTTTCTCCCCTTAAAATGTAAAAAATCCAAAAACCCTGAAACACGTCATTATTTATTTATGCTCAATAGCTGTAATTTAAGTTTTCATGTTTCTAACTTTAAAAAACAAAGAGTTTCATTAAAATCTCCCTCCCCCCATTTCCTCCCATTTCCTCCCTTTAAAGTTAAAATTTCCAAAAATCCTTTCTTAGCGGATGCTTACGTTATTAAACAAACCTATGTTCCAAATTTCAGCTTTCTAGGCTCGGTAGTTTTGGCTGTACGCTGATAGGTCAGTCAGTCAATCAGTCAGTCAGGACAAACAATTTTATATATATATATAGATATAGCTTTTTTTGTTACTGTTTTTTCTATCCAAACCGACATCCAAAATGACTCCATCTTTTTTTTCTCTAAGTTCTATGTGGTTTTTCAAAATGTGTATTATTTTTATTATAATAGGGGCAAAATAAAATACTCGTTGCGGCAAAGTGAAATTATTCTTTTTGTACAAGAGAGCTGTAATAAACAATTGAACTAATATAGGCACTGTTGTCAAAAATTATCATTTATTTACTTTATGCAATTTTTAAACTTGTTGAAAACATATTTGGTAAATACTACTATAAATATTATAGGATTGGAAAAACAAAAGTGGAAAATCTAATCAAAGAAGTCGAAGCTACCGAAGAATTCTTACACCAGACGCCTTTCACTACAACAGAATACGTTAAATATTTACAATTTGAACAAAAAAGTGTTCAAAGACTAGACGTTATGGAAGATATATTAGATTACTGCAAGGATTTGTATGATATTATGGAAGAATTCGAGATTGCTGTACCTTTTGACGAAATGCAGGCATACCTTGGTCTGAGTGTGACCACTGGAAATTTGAGGAACTTTGTTGACAAAAAAATAGAAGAGGCGCCGAAATTAATTAAGTTGTTCAGCGATCAGCTTAGTAAAGATATAAGTCTTCTAATATCTGAAGTTGGCAGTATCAAAGATGAGTGTATGGTAATTACAGATTTTGTTATATTTATTTTGAATTATTTTTTCTATGCTTTTATTTCTTTTTGTAGTTTTTTAGTAAATTTTAATAGCATTCTTTTAGTTATAATCACATTAGCCATAAGATATTCAGCCTATGCTAGTTCCGGAAGATTAAAATGCCTCTGCAGTGGAGACTAGTTACCTTCGGTAAATTGTTGACAAACCAGTTTAAACTTAGGACTCTTATAGTATTAATAAAGAAAATTTTAAATAATATCAACTGACGGTCTTTCATCCCACTGTATACTTCTATATACGTCAAAAGTCATGTAAAAAATTTGTCAGTTCAAAATAATTTTACCCCCTTTTGTACTGCATCTGACTATTTTTTTTTTTATTCAACGAGACGTTCTTAATTTTTGACAAATCAGGTTGTATAAATTGTTTTTAAAACAATTTTTTCCCTACCAATTACTCCCCCTACTCCGAGGCTGCGAGAGCGGAATTTCACTTTTGTTAATTCGAATGAATATGACGATCATTTATTCAGTTACTCTGTAGGAGAAGAGAGCCATAGAATGAAAATAATCAAGTTAATAACAAAAATTTATTGTAAAATTAGATTTTTTTAATTTAGCCAAAGCGCAAATTGAAATTGAGAAAGGACATCTATCAGAAAAACATTTTTTAAGCTAATTCTTTTTCATAATCAATAATGAATTTTAAAGTCGTGTAAGGATGTAATAGGTACAAGACGGGTGCAAAATAAATACTAAAACTGCACTGTATGTATTTTATCTAAAATTAATAATAATTGAATAATTATTTTTTAGTTCAATTGCGCCATTTATTCTGCCTCCGTCTTATATGTGTCATGAAACAACAACAATTAGCAGGTCGTGCTTCAGGTGCATATTAAAAAAGCGCAATTTCAGCTATATAAACAAAATCTATTTGTTTTTTGTATACACGCATTTTATGTGAAACCAACTGTACATACTTTTCCGTTTAGCGTGTATTAATCCATCCAGTTAATGTTGACAAAACCATGCACTAAGGTAAGCTGGGATAAATGTAATAATGGGGTAAATGTATTATTCAGTAATAACAGTTCTGTAGATGTGTTTGAGAGGGCGCCATGAGCATATTTTGTTGTGAGGGAGCATGCTGCTTCTATTCTAGACTGACCACACTTTGCTGCGACTTGTTAGTCTGTCGTTAAAAACGATCAAAGTCATAGTGATTTTTACGCCGCAGTTTTCAGTTCGAGTTAATAAAAGCCATAGCCTATTTCTAGGACTGAGTAAATATTAGAAAGGGTAGGTTTGATATTAGAATTACACTTTAGGTGGCGAGTATCGGCTAACACCGGCCAATAAAAGGAGAAGCACCCCTTGACGACGTTGTCAACTACATTAAATCTGTAGGCTGGCTCAGGAGCTAAGAAGTGCCTATTTCCTCAGGAGGATGCACAATGGGCCTAATGAGGCCTAAGTGCCGTGGGGTAACCCATCCTCCACACATTAAAGATACAGATACACTTTAGGTGGTATGTTTATTGTATAAAAATGTTTTTAACAGAATTATTGTTTTAGTAATGATTATTGTCGATGGTACAATTGCCCCTAAAAAAATGTAATTCGGGGCTCATGTAACATGTTATATAGGAGCAATTGCAACAGCTCATGTTACATTTACCCCTAAAAAAAAATTAGTAAATTATAAAGGTTGCTGCTCCAATAGTATCTTCTTCGTTTTAGGAGTCATGGTTAGGAACTATATTATTAAAAAGACCAACGGCCCTACCTATAATAAAAATACCTTAAAAGTAGCCATTTTGGAAGTAAATGCAGGTCGTTTGACTGCTGAGAAAGTTGCAAAAGTATTTAATGTACCTTATTCAACAATATACACTAACTGTAAAGGTTCCCGCGGGCAAATAAAAAAAGGAAAAGGGCGTAGTACGATTCTTTCACCTCAACTTGAACAGACGTTAGCCACCGGACTGAAAACACTAGAAAAATGGGGCTTTAGTTTGTCGAGGAAGGAGGTGCTACACCTTGTGGGACAATATATGAAATCAAATAATTTACCAACCCCCTCCAAAAATCAGTCACTAGGACAGGACTGGTTTATTGGATTTAAAAAACGACATGGCTTAAGCATAAAAAAGCCACAAAATATGGAGTACGCCAGGCAAAAAGCTGCAGATCCTTTTACAATTTTTGAATGTTCTCATTAGACAACCTTCAAATTAGAGACAAGCCATCTAATATTTGGAATCTTGACGAATCCAGTCTATGTATTGGTCCTACCAAATCCCGTGTTGTAGAGGAAAAGGGAAAAATCTGCAACCAGAATTACTAGTGGTCCAGGGAGGGAAAACACAACAATTCTATTTATGGCGAATGCTGCAGGCGAAAAGACTCCGCCACTAATTATCTATAAAGGACTACACATGTGGGATCAATAGTGTGCTCCGCAAGGATCTGATTGCTCTGGAACTGTTTAAGCGACATCAAAAAGGGCTGGATGGAGACAGATATATTTAAAAACTATTTTCAGCGCACTGTTTTACCAACTCTAGGTGAAAATCGTCCTGCTATTATCATATATGATGGACATTCGACTCATATTAGCCCTGAGGTAATACAGTTAGCAATTCGAGGAAACATAACAATTCTTAAATTACCTCCGCACAGCAGTAACGCTTTAACCGTTAGACTTGTCAGTATTCAAGCCTTTCAAAGACAAATGGGATGAAAAATTAGTATCATGGCAACGCCAAAATATTGGACGTAAGCTACCAAAATCTCTATTTTACAAAATTTTTAGGGGACACCTGGAGATTTCTGTCCCCTGAGGTGATACATAATGGTTTTATAAAAGGAACAATATACCCAATTTGACAAAACAGTCATACCAGATGAAAAATTTTGTTCAGAGGCATTACGTCGTTGGCACAAAATGAAAATAAACCAAGGGACCAATTCTGATAAAACAGAAAACATCCATATTATTAGGAACAAGTAATTTAGCTTCAAATGCAGAACCACTGCCGTCAACGTCGTCTACTGCAGATACCATCAAATATGGAGCAAAAAACTTTGAAACATTGCTATTGGAAGCCCTCGACCAGAAAGTGTACGGCGCAAGAGAGTAGGTACAAGCTCAGAAGTCTTAATGTCTCAAGATGTGTTAGAGCGTTTACAAAAAACTAAAGAAGGTAAACAGCTCAAAAAACAAAACACAGTTAAATCAAGGTGCCGCAAGAAAGAAGATAGTAGCAATGAAGAAGACGAAGAGAAAGAAATAAAATACAGAGAATCAGAGAATTAAGGGGAGTTCCTACAGAATATAGTGCAAGAAAGGGAAATTCGGGACAGATAATAAAACGAATAAAATCAAGAAGTAAAGGAAATGAAATGGGTTTTAGTAAAGTACACGTCAAAGAAGAACATGAAGCACTATGTTGGCCGTGTAACACGACGTGTGGAAGATGAATGGGAAGTAAAATTTTTAAAACGAATTTCAACTAAACGACAAGATACGATAAGATTTGATTGGCCTCCTGCAGACGATATTGACACGGTAAACGAAGCAGATATTGCATTGACTTTGCCAGAACCACTCGAAGATAGAAGAGGGTTACTGTATTTTAATATCTTGTTTGATGAATTTAATACTTAAAATGTTTCTTATAAACATATTCTGTAACTTGAATAGAGTAATCTTACAATTTAAACTACTTATTTAGTTATTTCATGTCAAAGATGTATATGTTAATTTAATAAATCAGCTTTTTTACGTTGCATTTGGAAGGGTTGCTATTTTTTAAGAAAAAGAGTTTGTTGTAGGTTTTTATGTCGTTTATTTAATAAATTTTCGAGTTTTCTTTCTAATTTTGTGTTTTAATAAATGCCACTTCTTTATACGTATTTTTTAAAAAGCTTGTTGTTTTCTTAAATATTAACCGATTTAAATAATTTTTGCACAAAATTTTTCGTAATATATATTTATTTTACATTTACCCCTTTCTGCCAATAATACAACGTTTATCCGCACCAGAAGCTCAAGTGTTACATTTACCCCTTTTTCAGGGGCAAATGTAACATGTTGACATCATTTTAAAAAATATATTCTAAAAACAAAACAGACACATTAAATAAATATACTGCTATAAATACATTTATAGATAGTTATACTTAACAAGGAAAAATTGGCAGATTTTATCCTTAATGTTCAATATTTTTAAGATACCTATGAAATGTAACTATTCGAAAAACCTGTTGCATTTACCCCAGCTTACCTTACGTAATTAATTGGCCTCATTAATAGTCTACTTTCTATTAACCGTTTATCTACCACTTAGTATACCGGCATTGTTGTAAACTATCCTTAATTGATAGTTTTGTGTAACGCTATTAGTAAATTGACACTGTGAAATTAAATATTCAAATTTGAAACTTGATTTTCTATTTTAAAAAAAATTTGGTCGCTGAAAAATCTTGTAACAGTAGATATACAAAGCCGCTATGGGACCACATAGGGGATTCGGATCTAGGACTGTTTTTCGAATGACAATTAATCGAACGACAGTTCTTCGAACGGCCAGTTTTTCGAAGAGCCCATTGTTCGAACAGACCATTTTTCGAAAATACAAGTGTAGGTAATTTAAACAAAAAACATTCGGTGTCGCACCTGAAATTCAATTTAGATAATTTATTTTTTTTATTTAATTTTTTGATAACCTGACACAGGTGCGACACCAAAACGTCAAAAATAAAAAGCGTTTCGTATAAAAATAATGATTTTATTCCAATTAATTCTTCTTAATACATGACTTATTTATAATATATATAACAAAAGAAACGAGTAACTTATTTATAAGACAAATTACAAGCTATACGATTTAAGTATTCTATAGGGTCTTTAGGAGAAAACTGAGTGATAATATTTTGTAATCTAATATTTAATTGTAAGTACTTCGTTTTCTTCGGCACAGCGGGAGTTCCACAGTAAAA